CACGGCTTTTTTTTTGTTGTTTTCCTCTCAATAAACAGAGAAAGAAGTCAAAGTGTGTGTGAATTTAGAGAGTAGACAGTTTAGTCTTACTCTTTCAATATTTTCAGCTTTGAACTACAACTGTAATCCACTTTAATTTTAGACTTTTCCTGTGTGAGTATCTGTCTTTATTAAATAAAATAATAATATAATATCCATCCATCCATTCGCTTCCGCTTATCCTTTTCAGGGTCACGGGGAGCGCTGGAGCCTATCCCAGCTGTCATAGGGCGAGAGGCGGGGTACACCCTGGACAGGTCGCCAACACACAGGGACAGACAACCATTCGCGCTCATATTCACTCCCGCATTCACACCTATGGGCAATTTGGATTAACCAATTAACCTATCCCCACAAACTGCATGTTCTCCCCGTGTTTGCGTGGGTTCCCTCCGGGTACTCCGGCTTCCTCCCACCGTCCAAAGACATGCAGTTTGTGGGGATAGGTTACAATATAATATAATATAAATGTCTAAATACTACCAGTGGCTGGACTAAAAGACAGCGCAGAGGCACTAATTGTGGCAGCAGAGGAACAAGCTTTAAGTAAAAGATCCAAGGCCAGCCAGTAACGTTTACTTTGGTCCTCTGGAGGTAGTTCTGCAGGAGTGATGTATGTCTTGGCTCATTGTCAAGACATCCATCGAGAACCAGTTTTGCTGCTGCCTGCATGAGGTTTTCTTTTTCAAAATCTTCACATATGCTTCTTCATGGTTCCTTCCACCTTGATGAGATTCCCAGTTCCAGGTGTATTGAAGCATCCCTACAGCATAACACTCCCACCACCATGTTTCACTGTGAGCAATGTTCTTTGAATTGTATGTCTTTTCCTTCTGTCTCCAAACATAATCAGCGTGTCTGTGTCCAGAGAGCTCTAGTTCCATCTCATCTGACCAAAGGACACAGTTCCAGTAAGCATAATCTTTCTCCAGGTTGTCCTTGGCGTACTTCAGTCTGGCTTGAATGTGTCTTCTTTCTCTTGTCCACGTCACAGTCCACTTATATGCAGAATTCTAGTGATAGTCTTCTTTACGTCAACAGTCCTGACTTTGCTAAGTAATTCATTCATGTCTTGGCAGTTGTTCTGGGTTCTTCAGACACATCTCTCACTAGTTTGCTTTACAGAGTCTTTGAAGTTTTTTCGCTTCCTGTTTCTGCCAGGCTTGTTCTGTACTGTGTGGCTCTCTTTGAATTCCTTGATGATACATCTCAGTCCAGTTCTTGACACTTGGCGGCTTTGTGATAACTTTGTATATCCATCTCCCGCTTTGTGAGCATCCACAATTCTTTTTCTCAAGTCTAAACAGATGTCTTTTGTATTTGGCATGATGTTTTCTCCACTGAAGTTTTTATATTGTGTGTAAATTGGAAGATAACCCTCAGTTTTAAATTGCTTTTACTGCATAGAGCAATACAGAGGTGAAGCACATCATTGCACAGCAGTGGTTTGTGCTATGGCTCAGTAAAAAGGGGACTAATAATATTGACCCTGGTAATTTTTGGTTTTTTGGAAATAATTCTGTGATTATACAAATATAATGGCACTGTTAAAAATTTTTTATGTGGCCAATGATACATTTACAGCCGATATAAAAGCTTTATTTGTCCACCTAAAGCTTCCTGTTCTTACACCGGGCCTTCACAGCGTGGGTCTGGCACAGGATGTGTGCGATGGCCGTGCTGAAGGATGAGCATGTTTCACAAACAGGCCGAGCAATTATAGCCCGAATAATTATGCGCTGAAGGGGAGACACGACTCGCCCCGTTGATCAGCAAAGTTCATGTGAAGTTATAATTAAACAATAACTCGTTTACAAATGAACGCACACGCGCGTTTGTGTGCTTAAGTGTGCAAAGTGTAATTAGCTGCGATGCATCTGAGTGAAACCGAAACAACAACAATGTCAAATGGTGGAATTATGTTCAGCTCGTGAGCTTGTATCACTGTTATCTGTGTGTGTTTCTGTGTGTGCGTGGAGGAGGTGTGAGTAAAGAGAGACTGACAGATAAGTGAGCGATTGTTGGGCTGATTGGTCCTCACAGGACTCAGAGATGGACCCTGATGTTTGATGCTTCGTACAAACGCATTAAGTGAAGATCACTGTGGAGGGGATGGATGGCTAAAACCTTCGTGTTCAAAATCAATTAGACCCCTGAAATTCACACTGAAACATTGCGTAGTTACACACACAGTGTTAAACTAGATTTCTGTGATCTGAGTGAGATTGTGTATAACTTTTTTGATATGTATCCACATTTGTCGAATCACACTTACACCTAACAGCCCCCCTGTTAGCAAGTTAGTAAAACCACTAATTGCACATGCTCATCTAGTGGCAGGGCTGAGCGTGCTGAGTCAGCGATGCTCCTTAAATCTCACACTGTACACCCCTACTTCATTGCCCACCGCTGGAGACACTGGTTCTGTCACTAGAAGAGAACAAAACCCTCCAATGCTGTCGAGGTAAGTTTACATACAGACGAGGCTTATCTAATGGAGGTGAGACATGACAACCTGACTCATACTTGTGTAAAAGAGTCTTTCACAATCAGCTTGTAGTTTTAACGCGGAGGGCCCACAGTGAGCACGAATCTGGGCAGGGATGTGGAGCTTGGTGGAGGCTTGAAGAATCACTTGCACTTTGGTCAACCCCACACAGAGACTGGCCAGCTGTGAATGGCAAAGATATAACCAGTGGAAAACTGCTCCACTGCACTTTTATTTAGATTGAATTGTAATTATGAATTGTAGTTGGACAAACTCCCTCCTTTCATGGGGACGCTAACATTAAAGCCTGATTTTATGGAATTAATAAACTGTAACATCTTTTCAACTTTTAACATTTCTGCACATTGAATTTTTCCCATTTTTGTTTTGTTTTTATGAATGAAAAGTAATGTCCTCCATCTGGTCGGACAGTTAAAGGGATGAACAATGAACCTGACTTTCATCTGTCAGCTTAGTGAAATCTTTTTTTTATTATTTTTTTTTTTTTTACCTTGCATTAATTGGCATAAGAATATGAACTTAAAAAAAACAGTATCCCAACATAATATCCCCAAAGAACAGAGAAGCCTTCTATTCCACGTTTCTGTCGTGAAAGGAAAACTTGACCCGACCTCCTCCCGAGGCTCCTGCTGGTGTCGCAAGATGGCGCTAGAGCATCGACCATGTGTCCCCCCCACCCCAACCCTCCCGCTTCTCTTCCTCTGCTCGGTTCAGTCAGCGCCACAGCATCAGCACAGCAGCTTTCCCTCCTTGCCTGTGAGCCTAATGGGAAATTTCAAGTCACCTAAATAAAAAGGAAGGTGTAATTAACGCGACGCGCTATTAATTGCATCTGCTAGAGAGCGGATGAAGGGCGCGAGGGCGCACTTTTTTCCTTTTTTAAAATGTTATTTATTTTATTTATTTATTTTTATTACAGAGCTTCACAAAAGTCTACTTCAGAGATCAGAGAGTTGCAGAGGGGGCTTTAAATGCCGGGGTCATTTCATACCAGGCGTCCAAATGGCAGGTCAAACGGTGAGTGGGGGTGGTGATGATGGTGTTTCTTCCCACATCAAAACAACGCGTGAAGACGCGCTTTCTGGCAAGCTGGTATTACATCATCATCGTCTCGTATAGGTTAAGTTAAGCACATTAGCGTTGATTAGAATGACACCCACCTTGAATCAGAGGATATCTGCATATTTTTTATTTTTCTGTTTAAAGCACACGATTGGTTTTTAGTTCTTTATGATCAGCTTTATTGATAAACACTATCAATACCTTATTAGCTACTGATTGCCAATCCACCTCTCTGTTTGCTTCTTAATTCTGAGAGAGAAAAGAAGCACTTCATCCATGCTCGTGAGGCTGCAGACATCAGAACAGGAAACGGATCCGATTCTAATTAATATTATTCTGACAGGCACAAGGCCCGCGCGCAATCACGCACATTTTTAAGCAGGAACTTTTGCATTTGGCTGTCAGATCCAAGCTTGAAAAAATAGTAATAATAATCAGCTAGGCTAGATTTTCACACACGTGCACACAAACATCACACCAATGCTTACTGTGGGGAAATAACTCACTCAAGGGAAAGGGGGAAATGCCATCAGGGTCACCAGTGTCAAACTCACGGTCACCAGAAGAGAAGAAACAGAAGAAGAGGGTTTTTTTTCTTAGTATTTTTTATGTTAGCACATCGGGACAAATTTAAAGCGTTCAGGTTTTATCTGAAATCAGGAAAGCATCGTCGCGATGCGTTCAATTGCCAGTCTTTTAACCCTCATTTAATCACGACAGCCTAAAGTTGTGCTTAGGGTTGAAAGCTGACTTCATAAGATACATTTTTGTCTTCTTAGATTAATTAATTATCTTAAGAAATAAACTAGACAGCGTCATTCAAGGGAGGAGAAGAGGAGCAAAAGAAGGGGGGGAAACTAAATAAAAACATCTACATCTGCTCACAATCTTTGTGTGTAATCCTGCGTGATAAAAGAAAAAGTCCACATATTAGTAAAAGAAAAAGATTACCGCATTGGACCGTGATTCAGCCCTCCAAAATGACCACTTTTTAGTCCTCGGACTCCACTTTGGGAAGCCCTAATTTAACCCTAGATGGAAGCTGTGGTTTTCCCAGCCAAAGCCAGTTCATTTAAAAGCAGCCTCGGGGCAGAAACAACACATCATCGGCTCACAATCTTCCATTCATCAACCCTGATTTTCTCTCGGCCATTAATTCCACTCAAACGAATGGGCTCAAAGCAAGAAGCATATTTTTTAACAGCACAGCTGTCAGGCAACTCAGTGCAGCAGCTCCCTGATTTGCTGGGTTTCACGGAAATATATATATGTGTATACATGTGTGTGTGTGTGTGTGTGTGTGTGTGTGTGTGTGTGTGTGTGTGTGTGTGTGTGTGTGTGTAAATAAAATAAATACATTTAGCCTCGACGTTGGAAAAAAGCTGTTTAATATCAACCCCGTTATTTAAAAATGTGCAAGTCCGTTGTTCATGTGTCAAGTGATGAAACACCTGCAGGCATTCCTCACCTCTGCGTCATATCTACCCCAAGTTCATCCAGTGAATATGACATAGCCTATTCCCCCCCCCCCCCCCCCCCCCCCCCAAAAAAAAAACAAAACAAACAAAAAACAAAACAAAACAAACAAACAAGCAATTAAACAAAAACAGCAAGAAGAACAGCGTTGGATTGCTACAGGTCTACATCCCACAACTTGTATTTCCAGTGAATTGTGACTTGGATCGATTGGTTTTAAAGCTACTGGAAGAAAGATTTCAATGCCATGATGGTTTCTGCTTGTTAATGATATTATTATTATTTTTTCTGCAAATGAAACACAGAGAAGGAAGAGGAGGAGAAAAGAAAAGCAGTTTCCACATGAGAGGGGAAAAAAGTCCCTGGATTTCTCTCTTTGCATAAAACAAAAAGGCGAGCTACTGCACGGAGAAAAACATGTATATACATTTAGCTGTGACGGTCCAGGCTGTGGCAATCCCGCTATTACAAAAAAAGAAAGAAAAATAGGTCTCTCTTTCTGTCACCCCGTCCCCTACAAAACAAAAGCCTTCTCGGCTCTTCATTTCTTATATATCTCACCCTTTGTCTCTTCTGTAAAAGCCACCCAGAATAAATTACAATCTCATTAACAAAACTAAAAAAAATAACATTAAATAAAATGTCTACGCGCAATTTCCCCCCGTTACATAAAAAAGGCAAAACAGACGAACAAAAAGGCTGCATGGTTATTGTAAAATAATAATAATTTTGATCATATGCTGCAATTTTTGGAACGCCACTAAAATATGTTTTGAGGACAAATTATTCGCACATTAATTTTGTTTTGTAATCCTCCCCTTAGATCGTTTATTTGTGGACATTTCTCTGCTATATTTATGTGGATTCACTCTTAAAGCACTGTTTTTATTTCAGAGCGGGCGCAAAATGGCGAAAGCAAACTCTTACTAGGCGAATTAAGCCAAAAAAAATAAATAAAAAATAATAATAATAATGCAAAATAAAAGTTCAGAGGAATTTAAAAAACAAACAAAAATAGCAGACATTTTTAGACGTCAAAATTAACGCGTTACCAAAAAAAAAGAGAAAGAAACAAAAAGAAAAAAAGTCCGAACCATTTAAAAAAGGTACACAAGTGCAAGGCGGTGGGTTTAGGCTATGGACTCTGAAGCTCAACCTGCTCGTGTGTGATTTTTGATTTGTTTTTTGTTTTGTTTTTTTGTTTTTTGGGGGGAGGGGGACAAAAAAATGAAAGAAAATGGGAAAAAGTGCCCCAGTGAAGAAAAAGCGAGAAAAAAGAGGGATGACTTTTTAAAGTTATACAATATTTACAAAAGCGGATCCAAACTGTTCTGTGAGAGTTGCTTGTGTCGAGATCTGTGTGTGTGGAGCCCATCCTGTTGTGGGGAGAAGAAAAAAAAGAGAAAAAAAGAAAAAGGTGCCATATAATCCAATCAATCGCCACGGAGCCCCAATCCTGGAGCTGGGAGACGCTCTGAGGGGGGAAATAATAATATTTAACGCTTGTTGTGTGGAAAACACGGACTTTGTTGTTTAGACTGCTGGCTGACTCACGATAGAGGTCACACACTTTTTATTTACCACATCTCTGCGCTCAGGCCATTTATACTGAAGAGTTTAACCAGTGAGCTGCACGTGCACTAATAATAATAATAATAATAATAATAATAATAATAATAATAATAATAATAATAATAATAATAATGTGTTCTTAACTAAATGGTGACCTCAGTCCACACAGAATAATTAAAAGCGGTCTGGCTGACAGATGGGACTCAGGCGATGCTCACCCTCAGCTGGACTCCACTGCACTGGGGCTGAAGCCTATACCGGCCTCCACTTTACTCCATTAACGCAGCTCCTTTGACCTCCCACTGCACTACCCACACACCCATCACGGCTGGACGCACAATTTAGAGCCACAAAACTAAAAAAAAAGAAAGAAAAAGAAACGAAAATAAAATAAAAGATTAAAAAAACGTCTTTGATTTCCCTTTTACGCACAGCCCCAAAAAGGTTGGAATTGATATATATTAAAAAAAATAGAAGAAGAAAAAAAACTGGAAAATGGAAGCTTTTCTTCTAAAACCATTCTTCCCCTCCCCTCCTTTTTTCGTCAAGTATAATTTCAGTACACAATAGGGGCTACACCTTGAAACTGCGTCGTCTGGAGTCACAGTGCTGGGCATGTATCCTCGGAGAACATAACACGGGCTTATGTTCCTTCAGCTCTGCGAGAGGGGAGGACAAAAAATGTCCTGTCCTCCCGTCACTCGTTTTCCATTTCTCAGATATTCACTGCAGATATTGTGTCAGTAATCACTGCAATCTATTATACATAAAACACCCACTATATCGTTTCATAGTCCAGTGATTTATATATAACCTTGGGGGGTGGGATAAATTAAAACGGTAAACAAGTCCTGGAGGAGCCGGTCCGGCAGAGTTCATTGGACCGGGGTCTGGACCCCGTGGTGCGGCGGCGTGTCCCCGTACACATCCTCGCTCCCCGGCAGCGCTCCTCCCGGAGGGGTCATGCGTTTTTCCTTCTGTCTCCTGTTACAAAACCAAACCCTCACCACTTCTTTCTCCAGGTGCAGACTGTCCGCCAGGCTGATTATTTCCGACGCTGCCGGTTTAGGGCACTTCAAAAAATGGCTCTCCAAAGCTCCTTTTACGCTTACCTCGATTGAAGTCCGTTTTTTTCTTTTCCTCCCCTGCGCCGCGATTTTGTCCAGGCTGGTCGGGCTGCCCGAGGTGGAGTCCGCCTCCTCCAGCCACTTGTTCAATAGAGGCTTCAGCTTGCACATGTTTTTGAAGCTGAGCTGCAGGGCCTCAAACCTGCATATGGTGGTTTGCGAAAACACATTTCCGTACAGGGTCCCCAGGGCGAGTCCCACGTCCGCTTGCGTGAATCCCAGCTTGATCCTGCGCTGTTTGAACTGCTTGGCGAACTGCTCCAAGTCGTCCGAGGTCGGCGTATCCTCATCCGAGTGGTCGTGGTGGCTCTGCGGCCGGTGCTGGTGCTGATGCTGGGACGGAGGGTGGCCGTGTTCGCTGAGGTGCGGGCTGTGGTGGTCTTCGTGACTGTCTCTTAGGTTGTGGTGGTGCATCCCCTGCCCGCTGCCCGGGATGAGCCCGTTGACGGTGAAGCCCGGCTGAGAGTAAATAAGGCTTTGGCCGTTTGTCGTCGCCATGCTCTGTATGTGCGCCGCCGTGGTGGTTCTCCACGCGCGGGCGTCGTGGTGGTTCCCGTGCGTCTGGTGCACCAGGTGGGGCGGCCGTGACTGGTGCTGCAGGTTGCTGCTGGAATTGTGCATCTCGTCCCGGGCGCCCTGCACCGCGGGTTTAATGTCCTGCTCCGCGCCGAGCGGGCTCGAGGACCACGGGGCTCCCTCTCCGTGGGACAGCGCCGTTATCCACTGGTGTGCGTGGCTGAGCGTGTGGCTGTTGCTCTGCAGCGGGTAGTCGCTCTGCAACAGGCTCTGCGCGTCCCGGTACGCCGTGGCTTGCTGCATGCTGCCGGGCTCCGAGTGCACGATGGATGCGCTGGAGGTGAGAATGTTGTAGTGGTTAGACGCTGCGGTCGCCATGACTCTCGGAGCCGGACTGGTCGCTCTTATTAAAGGAACCTCGCATTTGACAGAACCTCTCCTGCCCACAGGCGGCTCCCAGGCGCTCTGCCAAGTGGACGCCGAAGCGCACCTGGACTCCGCCCCGCCCCCGCCGCTCATTGGGTACGGGAGGATGATGGACGGGGTTACCAGGGGCAACGGCGCGGCGATTGGCCGCGTGGAAGTCTCAACAAACACTACTGTCTTTGTTGGAGAGGTGCGAGCCGAGGCTCCCGTGGAAGCGGAGAGCCGGAGTGCAGCATGGGGAGACGGAGCACCGGGATCAGCAGCGCAGCTGTAAGATCCAGTTCATTTACTTTGATAATCTCGTTCTATCCAGACTGAGACTGCAGGGAGTCTAGTTCCAGGAGACCCGGAGCTCTTCTGTATTTAACCATTCAATCCCTAATTTAGGTGGACTTCAGATTTTTATGCACATTTATGGCATTAAATACTGGAAAAAGTGCGAACCCTTCTGATTTGCGCATAACTTTTTCCCCCCTCAGTGCCATCAAGGACTAGACGGCGTTTTGTGTAGTCTACATTTGCAGTAAAGCTTAGTTCCGTCTGACATCTTTGTTTTAGTGCAACATTTCTGCTTGTCGTTGTAATGCATGCATATTCATATGTCTGCTGCTGTTCGTGCAGAGTTGTCTGTGTACTGTAAGCAGGAAAAATGCATCATATTGCGCTGTCTCTCCTCGAGGATGAATATATATCTTAGATGAGCCAATCATTTTTTTATAATGACTTTTTATAATGACATATATTGGAATGAAACTAAATGTAACAAATCTGTCACACAAGAAGCTTCTAAAGTGAAATATTTGATAGAGAAAGGAGCTCAGGCATGTTTTAAACAATTTGATTTTATTTAAAAAAAAGACAGTAACAAAATGTTAACAAACTTTTGAACATTTGCTGCCATGCAGACTGAAATGTATTTAAAGTCTTCAGGTAAAAACATTGCGCCCTGCTTAAACTGAGGTGTGTGCCATTAGCTGGCATCAGTCTCAGGTGATTTTTGCAGCTGGTAATGGGGACTGGGATCTTTAAAAGCATCGGCTATTCAAGCTGCACTTCCTCAAACACTGACGCTTTCCTGTAAAAGTGTAAACTAGTATATTTTTTCCCTTCACCGAAGGCTTGTAAATGTAGATGTCGGTCAGTTGTCTTGACTTTAAAACTTTTAACAGCCCATAAAGTAAACAGATCAACTTTTGTGTCCAACTAGGCTGTAAAGTGAGTTTTACAAGTCTGTCTTGGTGGGAGAGGCTACATGCTGATAAAAAGAAGGAAGCCCCCTCCCAGTTGAAGTTATGGCTTTCTCTCTCTATACATATATAGCATGGAGGACTTGCAAAGTTTAGTGATTAAAAAAAAGAGAGACATAAAACTCTATCCAGTGTGCCCTTATTACATGCAGTTTAAAGGATATTATGAGGGACTAAATGGCTGTTTACAACACTGTAAAGAACCTGTATATGGGGCCATTAGAGCATGGTGCAACTGTACTGAAGGCTTATTCACTTCACTAAAAGAGATTTCAAAATTATTTTCAGGTCTTATATAGAACGATTACAGAGTTAATATTGTGTGAACACCTTCTCTGGTTGCTCGTCATCCACTAAAGTGAAACTAGAAAGAAGTGAAGAGGAGGATTAAGTCCAAACTCAGGCCTCTAGTCCAGAGCAGGGAGGGCAGGTTTCCATCCTGTCTCAGCTGTCCCCCCCCCCAACCCTCCAGTGTCAGCTTCGGGGACCAGGACTTTGTCCAGAGAGGGGACATTCCTGGCCAACTGCTGCTGGTTGCCATAGGGAGAGGTAAATGAAACAACAGCAGTTGCATCGCTGCAGCTCTCCCCCACCCCTGTTCCCGGACTATCTAAAGGCCTCTATTTAGAGAGGCTCTCTACTGCGGGGACAAAGCTTTTGCAGGGATAAAGGAGGGAGGAGTAAAGAGCACAGGGCCCTGAGAGGGAGAAAGGGCTAGAAAAAGCAAAAAAAAAAAAAAAAAAAAGATGAGAGAGATTATGTCTGTCCTCAAAGCTGCTCCTCACACTCCGCTGAGAGAAAGCAAACTGTGAAAAAATGACAAACACATCTTGGACATTTTTCACTGGCAGAGGCACATGTTTAACTTTCTAACTTCTGAGGCAGTAATTCTGCATGTTAGAAGACATTAATGATTCCTGCTGCATGTGTGCAATTAACAGTACCTTTGGTTAGTCTATGGCCTACAACAATTCAGTCCACCAGAAATAAAGTCATACATACTGGCCACAAATTAAACCTATAAATCAACGCAGGCAGTTCTTCAATATCCACAATTTATAACTTTCAAAGTATGCAAATGACTCAAACTGTAATTAAACATTTTATTTAATAACTTTGGACCTGCAGTAAAATTAAGAGGCAATAAAAAAGCAATTATCAAAGAAATACTTTTCACCCCCCCCTCCCAAAAAAAAAAAAAAAAAAAAAAAAATTCTAGCCGTGCAACGAAAACACAAATGGTGAATATTCACGCTCACAAATCATTATTAGTGATGTTAATTTATTCAAAAAGTTCACACAGGAACACATGTCGTGTATATAGACAAAGGTCTGGGAACAATGCAGGGCCATCCAACAAAGAGCAAGTGCTAATTGCAAAATGTCGCTTCTCTATGACCTGAATTGCAGTTTCAATTCATATGCTGATTTAAGTTGTACTACAACTTTTTCTTTGCGCTTTGATGTCGCTTAAGTGGCCAAAATTCTCATTTCTGATCTTTTATGCCACAAAATATGAACAAAAGACAAGTAACGTAACCAACTTAGAATACATTTGAGACTGTTAGCTGTATAGTAAATACATGTTTTGTCAGCAAACTTTCAAAAAGAAAGAAAACTGCCATCAGCCCTGATTCATTGCGGAGATAAACAGTGGACAACTGCTACAATGCTTTCTGATGGTCTGTTTACATCAGTAATACGCAGCAGCATAAAGCGAGTGATGATGAAGAGCAAAAACACACGCAAAATCCTCGTATTCCATGTATCACTCGGGCTCTTCAATTAAGTATTACTGATTGGGCCTTTAATGGATCTCATTTCAGAGGCTAATAATCTTTCATAGGAGTGAATCCAGCTGCACCGACAGCACATGAAGAGGCCAGGATTTAAGTCATACCAGGAAAAAGTTTCCAGGCACGGCTCAGTAATTCATTCTGGTAATATTGAACATTATTGTGGTGTAACATTGAAATCGGCCAAATCAAAAGAACATTGTGGTAATTAGGCTGTAATTCAAGGAATTACCACATCGCCACACAGGCTTAAATAGTCGTGTTGGGAGAAACGCAAAGCACATTATTTTAATGGCGTAATATGCAAACTATGGCTCGTTTCAATTACGTGGCTTAACAATGCATAAATGATGCGAGCCTTGTTATTTGGACTGCAGGGTCCGTAGTTATTCAATAACACAGAGGGGCCAGCGTTAGGGGCCACGCTGCCTTTCCTCTCATGCACCGAGACGCAGTGAGGTCGCTGCCAAACTGCATTTAAGGGAATAAAAATGAACAGTAGAGAATGTAAGCGTTAAATTAACAGTAGGATAATTATATGACCCGTGTGCTGTAAAGATTCAATTTCTAACGCTCTAATTAGGCGACTGTCTCCCCATACATCAGCTCACATCCCTCTGCCAATTTCTCACCAGAAAGCGTCCTGTGAGCGGAAATAATTTGATTTTATTAAGACACGGCTCGTGTAATGAAGAAAATCAAAGGAGGGGCTGGTTGAGTATGATATGTTTTTTAAATCACTGATTGTTCCACGATCTCAGTCCGCTGAGTCCTATTTAAAGACGAGGACATTGGGGTCCAAACTGAGGGAGAGAGGAAGGCGAGGCCCAATCACTCTTCGCTGTCTGTGAACGCCAAAGAACGATTATATTAACCCGTGTAATGAAAAGTATGTCCACCGCCCACTGCAGAGAGAGGATACAGCACCTTAACGTGTCAGACCTTTCAGAAAGAAATTTGTAATCATGATTATTTTCACAGTCTTAACTAATGAAACTTACTTATCAGTTTCCAGAACACAAACAGCCCAGAACACAGTGGGGTGTGTGTGTGTGTGTGTGTGTGTGTGTGTGTGTGTGTGTGTGTGTGTGTGTGTGCAGTAGGAAGGTTTTCACACCCATGTGCTGACAGGTATGGTTAGGTTTGGCTGTGCTCACCTTAAACCTGCCTTGCATATACATGCACAGTATAAAAAAACAATTCATGACATCATCATTTTGAAAGCCAATCACAACTCAGTATGCAGTTTTGGTGTGATGTGATTTGAAAGCCTCCATTCACTGAAAACAGGCTTCTTGGTGATGCAGATGCGTTATCTTGTGTCCAGTAGGTTAACTTGTTTTGTTTAATTTTTTTTCCAGTGAAATTTCAGTCTAAAATAAACCTTCAGTGAAGCTGCTGAACTTTATGTGTGGAACAACTTGCTAAATTAAATTAATTTAATTCCCGTCATAAACATTTATTTTTGTCCAGCCGACAGTCCAAAATACAAAAAGATTCATATGGTTACCTTAGAAGCCGTAAACAGTCACTAGATATTCATATTTGAAAATCTGATTCGTTTTTTTTACCTTGTATTTAAAAGTCTAATCAATATCAGAAAATACTAGAATTTAGTTTGATGATTTATAATAAAATATAGAAACAATACTGTAACATCTGTAGAAAATATATTTTTAAAGTAATGTAAATAATGTTATCATTGAAAATAATCTATGACTTTTCATAGTTTAAATGAAACAAACTCAAAATACCAGTGGACTAATGTTTACATAACTGTACTAAAGCACACACAACAAAAAAACAATTATTTGCAGCATTACCACCTATGAATTACTAGCACAATATTGATATATCTTTTTTTTTTAAATATCACAGTTATCTCTAATATAATACACCTCTAGATTCCTGTATGATATCCAGGCTTTCTTTGTAAAAGATAAAATCCAATGAAGCACATTTAGATTGTAACAGCTTTGTGTTTAATGCCGCAAAGATACAAACAGTCCCCGCTGGAGCATTATTGCTCTACCGTGGTGTCATCTTTGGGGAACAATCGTGATGAAATGGAAATCTGTTTACTTTGCATTTATCAGCTGCCTTGACTTTAGCTGATAGCAGAACTGATACAAAACCTTCAGATCAGAAGAATACAATCAGTGTGGGCTCATTTAAATACAAATAAAGTACATGCCTTATTTTTAATTTATGCAATAAAATAAGATCCCCTAATCCTGAGTATATACAGCCAGAAATATATGCAGCGAGCACAGATCACTTCCTTCGAAGTAATAACAGAGTTTTATTTCAGATTAGCTGTTCGGATGTCAATAATTCTCGCCAAGGCCCGTTTCGAATCTTGCATAACGAGAGCCGACCCACGCCTTTCATCCTTACTGTAATTGTTGTGTGCATCAAAGACGAGGGAGACTGACAGGCTGTATGGGAGGATTAATACAGTGGGTGAGTGACGACATACTGAGGCGGGAGGGAGGAGCGAGAGAGGGAGAGGAGAGCGAGAGACGAAGGTATGGGGGTGAGGAGGAGGAGAATGAGAGAAAAGTAGGAGAGGACAAAAAGTGGGGAGAGAGTTAACGAGAGGGACAGCATTAATTGTGTGCTTTGTGCCGGGGCTCTTTTGCTGAGTGTGGCTGTCGAGGTGCGGGCGCTCACCCCTCCAGCAGCCCGCCGTGATCTGAGCCAGCTCTCAGACTGCTGTATTCCAATGCAATTAGGCCACTCAAAGGCCTGCTTAAAGCTGCACCCCCACCACACACACACACTGATAGCAACATCCCCTGTGGGTCCCCTTCATTGTAGCAGGGACGTGTATTCTGTCCCTCTTTGAGGCCTTGGATGAAGAGACCACCCCGGGGAGCTGAAAAAAAAGCAAGGATTACCTCTCTTTCTGTTCCCTTTCCCTCTGTCTTTCTCTCTCTCTGCCTCTTTATCTTCCTCTCTTTCTGGTTTCACCTCTAAAGTCTATCAGCTCGGGCAGGCAACTGAGCTCAGCTCCCGTTAGCTTCTCCAAAGAGACACAAGTTGGAGCTCCTTTTTTTTTTCTTTTTGCAGGAGGAAACAGAAGAAGAGGAGCAATGAGGCATTCCTGTGATGGATGTCATTGTGGGACTGCTCTAGCAATACCACTTCCCTCTTCCTCTTTCATTATTCATGCAGTCATATATTTCAACAAGTGGCGTGGGGCGTGTAGCTCGCTAGCTCGTCCCCGTTGGCACAGGCGCCGCAGCCTCAGTCAGTCTGTCCCCCTCTGTGTGCTGTATTAAGAGAAAGCGCTCCATGATAGCAGAGCTCTCTTGGCTGGCTTTCAGTGCGTCTCATTCCCCAGAAAGCATTTAAAACAGATTACAAACCTAACGCTACACCTCCCCAATAAGAGAAGAGAGGAGGAAAGAGGAGGAAAAAAAACCTGGCACATTAGCACCTGCAATACTAGTCAATGGCATCAACAGATTAACGAGGTAATCCACACAATGAGGTCTTTGATTCGTGTGGTTTGGCAGGCAATAATGCCAGGCATAATACACACTGTTATTTCAGGCTGTCCCAGCACGAGAAAACCTGGCAGAAGCTGATCTCTCTCTCTCTTTTATTTATTTATTTTTTGTTCTTTCTATCAGATGAGCTTCTTTTTTTTTTTGAAGATTTTTAACTTGTGCATCTGGCGCTTTTGCCCGTTTTCTTGTCGGGGAAATAACCTGCTGGCTTCTCCTGTGGCACATGTGAAGCGAGGAATCACAGGCTTTCTGAAGGCTGTTTAAACAGCAGGGCTGAGGAGCTCTCCATCGTCCTTCCCCCCTTATTTTTCTGCATAAGGACGTGTGTACAGGATAAGTGTGTGTGTGCGCGCGCGAGTGTGTGCGCGGAAGATCTCGCAGCCCCATCGCTCATGTGCGGCTCGATTAGCCCCACGTGCCTCGTTCGTCAGACGTGGAGGCAGAGCAGATGGCAGAAGACGCACCGTGTTACCATGCTGGAGCACTATGTAACGCTGCTCTAATTGAAACATCAATACTGCCCTGTCAATACACTACTGCTACTTTACAAAACACCTCCACCAACAGACCTGCACTAGACTGGCAAAGAAAAAAAAAAGTTTACCGCCCGGGGTGAAAGTAACTTTCTCTGTAACGCTTCCTGGTCTTTTTAATCTCCTAATATTAACACTTCACTTGCTTTCTGTTTGTATACAGCTTGTGGTGTTAAAGGAAGCATGCATGGGAAAAAAAGAAAAAAGAAAAAAGGGAGAGATCCTCCTCAGCAGTATCTCCACTGTGGCAAAAATTTTAATGAATTGATAGAAAGTTGAGAGAGCTCACATGGCTGTGATCAGTAATTCGACGTTATTGGGAATTCAGTGGAGAACAGAGAGAAATTAGGCGGCTAGGAATTAATTTGTTATTTGTCCAACTCAATGAGGAGTGACGCAGCCCCCTTTAATGAACGGGGTAATCCATTTCTTATTGCACGGAGCTGAATTCACCCTTCATTGAAGTGGAAAAAGACAAACATATCTTCCACTAACCTTTGCTACTTCCGAAGGCAAACCAGGAGTGGGATCGGGGGTTGGGGGGCGGAGACGAGCGCTGCTGGAGCTATTTGTTTTTCAGAAACAGGGTTTTGGGGTTTGTGTAGGCGAGAAAGTGGGTTTCAAAGCAGACCTACAATAAGTCATCTTTGCTGATACCGAGGCCACAAAGTCAAAATACAGTACGCTGACTTGATTCATGATTAACTGGCTTTTCTGCACTGTGGAAAACTACAGTCTTTACGAAACTATGGTTCATGGTTTTGTTTTTAATTCCCTTCCCTCTGCCCCGCCCCCTCTCATGCCTTTCTGCTCACAGATCCGTCATCTGTTGGATCTAAAACGCTTGATTGTGCCGACATCCTGGATCTTCTGTGAGGGCAAGGACCTGCGCTCCTCATCCGCGTCGTCCCCGAAGGTCTCGGTTTCAGGAGGCTCCCTCTCAACAGTAGGTCTTGTTTTCTGGGCAACATGTGTGTCAAGTATCTGTGGGACAGTGTAAATAGTCATAAGATAGCAGTCTAGGGTCTGATTTTGCTCTTCAGTTCACTTATTGGGTAATTTTATAATATGAAAATTCTCCTACAATCGAAAACGCTGTACCTGAGTGGGTTACATTTCAATAGGGAAAAATCTCTTTAATTAATTAACTGAATATCACAATAGTTGCCAATTCAATTAAATAATTGTTTCAGCTGTTAAAAAACAAACAAAAACAAAAACAAAAAGACCAACCACATATCTATTATGAAAAAAAAAAAATAAAGCATTCTGGTGGCCAAATGGGCAGAGTGCCATGTGTCTAGCGTGCAAACTCACATTCCTCGAATTCATTAAATCAAATAATTTTCCCTTCATCTATTCCACTCCTCAGTCTTCACCCCCCTAACAGAAAAAGCACAAAAAACCCAAACTATAAAAATAACCTGTGTTTTAGGACTGGTGGGGGTTGCAGCTTACCTTGAAAGCCAGACTAGATGTCAGGCTCGACTTAACCGGTCTGTCTCCTCGAGTTTTTCCCATCTGGTTAATGAAACAGATGTTTCATGTTAAAGACAAACAAAATATGTACAAAATATGGCTCTGTTGTGTGGGGGAAGCGAAAATACACTGATTCCTGCATTTCCCATAATGCAGATTTCTTCCAACCTGGTAATGAACCATATTTTTCAGCTTTTTAAAGTTATTCCTCACCGTGACACCAATGTCTTTACAGGCTGAGCAGCACTCGGCTACACTAGCAAGCTGCATTCATGTGCAAAACCAGTAGAGAAACTCTCATTTCTAATAGCAATATTTTATTTTTTAGCAGCTATGGTGCGTTATTTATTCTAGTTAAGGCTCCTTGTGGGCTTCCATCTGCTGCACTTCTCACCACCACCACTTGCAGCAGGAGTCGCGACTCCTTTGACATCCTTTTCCCCCTCCTTATGGAAGTCAAAAAGCTGAGAAAACACACAGAGGAAATGGGCCACGAGCTGTTCAGAGGAATCCAATTCAACTCTGTTTTTGCAAGAAAAAAGGCAAGGACAAACAGCTGAATTTGAAATCAATCAAACGCTGGCTCTGTCCACAGGAGCAACGTTCAGGCTCTGGTTACGATTTGATCTTGGCTCAAGTTTTCAGTGAGTGTTGACGTCTCAGAGTTGTGAGGAATCCCGAGCCGGCAGCTTACAGCGGGGGTTTTAGTGATACAGTATTTACAAGGCATGAGGAAGTGGGAGCGCTGCAACAGACGGCACCATACACGGTGCTTTCAATTATTTCTCACAGCATTCATGAAAATAGAAGCACAGCGGGGAGTACAGTATGAACGACAAAACTATAAAAAGACACGGAGTGAAAAGAGAACTCCCAAGCTAAAATAAATGGCGTTGTGTGCCGTTGCTTGGTGGAGAGCTCAGAAAAATGCATGCCTCCCAAAAAGAGTCAGAAATAGCGTAGAGTACAGACCAGAGTAGGGGTGATGGAGCAAAATGGATGCATAAATAACTGGAAGGAGGTTGAAGTTTGGATTTGAGAGCATCTTATGAATCGGTTTTTAGAGTTATGTTGGCCTGATGCTCTAAGTAGTGGGCATCAAAGAGCCTCTCATACACGCAGATCCATTCATAATATTAAATATGAAGGCTTGATGGAAACTTGCTGCAACTTACATGGGTTTCAGAAAGGAGAACACCTGCTTTTTAAGTTTGTCGCTGTTAGCATGCTAATTCGTTAACATTTGCTAAGCACAAATGAGGCTAACGGGAATATGGCTAATTTTCTACTGTAGGTTATTGTTTGTGAACCTGCCACCTTAAATTATTGGCTTGATGATAATGCTATAGAAAAACAGACAGAATACAAACATTTCGGCACATAATCATCATCAATCCATCCTGTAGTTGATCGCATATATTTTTGGGGTCTGGATCAAAGCAGTGGACTGACTCCCAGCCCTACTGACCTTTCAGCTCATACCGCTATGCTGCTAACATGGGTGAAAACAAATGAAGCACCCAGTCCAAACTCATGATGCTGTTTCTTACATCAGAGTGTTTCTCTCTGCACTGCCATGTTATATTACAGTCTTGCAGTATTTATATGCCTTGATAACTTATCAAACAAGCGCAGTGTGATGCTGCAAACCTCAGCTAAGGCTAAAACCCGTTCCAAAGTAAGAACTTAGAACAGAGACCAGATTGTGATATTTTCTTGACAACACCAAACAAAAAAATAAAATTGCAATAACTTTGCGTGAAAACAGACCAACTCAACCGATCACATTACCTGTTGGCAGAGGTAATACGATTCAACAGCAACAGCAACTTCGGGTTTATGTTGTTTGCTGTGTATTAACATCATTCATTGTTCAATTAACAAAAAAATTTTTGGCATCAACCTTGATTGCTTTATTTAAAAAAAAAAAAAAATACATATTAAAATGAAAACCCAAAGATATCTGTCAGACTGTTTGTTTTGTAATTGTGTCACAGAGTTCCCAGTTCAGATCAGAAATGATGGTGGTGAACACAGTGTTACTGTTATCCAAGAGCAAGGACGACAACTACAATGAACAAATAGAAAAATCCACGACCACAAAAAAAAGAATAAAAACAACCTCCAGATGAAAAGCTTCAGATTGGTAAATTTAGCATATTCAAGCGAATAGGCGCACACACCTACACTGCATCCTTTCTGCCCTCCAACACATCACCGCAGACAGACGACAACCAGCTTTTCCTCGAGCTGATCTTTCTCTCTTCTCTGAGATGAGAAGATGCTGGTGAGTAGAGAGAGGGAGAGGCTCACAGACAGAGACGTTTGTTTCCCAGCCCTTCCACCGTCTCCGTGGGACGACCCTCCCCATCCACCCCCAACCAACCAATCCCCCCCCCCAACCTAATGGATCAAACAAAGGACATCATTTGTAGGCCAAGTCTTTTTCTGAGCGTCTCTCTCCTCAGCTCTGCATACCAATCCAATACAGCCCAAGGAAAAAAAGCCACGCTGTGGTACGAGTGTGCGTGTGTGTGTGCGTGCATGTGTGTGTGTCTCTGGGCCGGGGGTTGGAAGGTCTGTTTGCCTCTCCGCCAAGCATCGATTTATCCTTTTCTCCAATTTATTTCTCCTCCTTGCCTCTGCAATCCATTCAGATCTGCCTCTAGGGGAGGAACTCGGGGTAAAGACGTTGTCAGGCCTTGCCGTTGCCTCCTAACACCGGCTCAAAACTCATCTACAGGCCCGGGGACCGTGTACCCCTGCAAGGACACGTCGGGCAGCAATGTGTGCATGCAAACAGCTACCTGTCGTCCGGCGGCACACTTCTGTCAAGGCTGTAATTGGCCTGATAATGCAGCATAAAGGACAGTGACAGGGGCTTGTGAATTTGTTTCAGCTCAAACGCTGGGGCTGGAGCAATGATTAAGTAGACCGCAAAATGTCGTCTAATTTTCTAAGGAGCGTTATACCCTGGTGTTTTTTCTGCAGTAACAACTGTTGGAGAAGCCAGAATGATATTTAATTGTTCCTCATAATCAGGCCTAGACTACGAGCAGATATGATGGGAATAACAATATCTGGAGTCCCGATTCAACTGTCTGATCCTTATCTCTGCCTGTATGATTCTGACATTTTCAGATGTTATTACTCACACTCAAGGATTTGTATCCTAAAGCCTCGACAGTGACGACGACGGCGCTCAATAGAAATGCTGCATGTGCACAAATCCCACGGCTCTACCCCCTATCCACACACACACGCACGCACGCACGCACGCACGCGCGCGCGCACACGCACACACGCACACACACACGCACACACGCACACACACACACACACACACACACACACAGAAACACCCTTGACAGAGATCTGTGAGCCATTCTTCAGTGTCACAGTGAGCGACGCCTGGCACATCCTTATACCTGAAGTTGATCAATGCAGATATGTCCAGGGGGAAATTGAAATCCATAGGAAATTAGGCGACGCAAGTGATTTATTGGAACAGTAAATCATGGTGCCTGTGATGTGTGGAGAGTCTGTGTTCCAGCTCTGTGCGCCATACTGTACCTTTCCTCTTAGTGACATGGCGATATCAGCAGCTCGCACCTTCTTCTCCCTCTCCATTTGGTAGATCCACTGCAGCAGGTCCATAGGAGGGGACTGGTCCCTCTGGAACAACCACCCATGAGGGATAGGGTGATTCAACCCCATGGACACAACACTCTGCAGGGGTCCCTCTGAAGTTAAAAATAGAAGCACAATTAGATTGCTGTATGCCTCACTACCTATGTTTCTATCTACAGTACATGCCAAATATGTTTCTATTTCATTTTTAAAATAAGACAGGAACGGTTCTGTGGTCTGTAAATACATAAAGTGTGCTGGAGTGGCTCTAGCTCAGGTAGTAGAGCGGGTCACCTACTAAGTGCTCCAGTCTGCATGCCAAATATCTTGCCCAAGGATGCATTCATCGGAGTGTGAATGTGTATGAATGCTAGTTAGGTAGCACTGAAAACCTAGAAAATTGTGATTGGGTGAATGAAAAAGTTGTATAAAGCGCTTTGAGTGCTCAGATAGAGTAGAAAAGCGCTATATAAGAACCAGTCCATTTACCATTTCTGAGCTTAGTAGCAGAAAAATGTTATTCAGGCAGTTTTGCTAAAATAAATGATATTGGGTGATATTTGCCTTGCAATTTCATTTTGCACATACATCAGAAGATTTTATCGAGTCAATCCTGTTTTGTTACAGTTTACAAACTGTTATTTTCATCCATTGTTGTGCAATATTTTTATATGCAGGGTTTTACTTGCAGGAGGAGTTCTTGTTCTTCCAAAGAGCCCTTATTTAGATTGATATTAAAATCAGCAGCAGCTGATTTAAAACCAGATTTTTGAATTTATACTTCTGTTACTCAACAAGAAAATTTACAGTACTTTTTTGTTTTCGGTGAGATACTGCAACACAGACTCACTGCCTTCACCCCACCAAGGGCTCACTGTGAGCCAAGAGAGTCATGCAGGAGTTTTCATTGTTAGCGGCAGACTCTGCCATTTCAGTGTCAGACTCAAACTGTCTACCCTTCAAAAGGGATTCCCTGCATGAAGATGCAATCCAGCCTTTCCATTTATCTCACTGACATCATCCTCTTTAGTTAGAATAAGTAAGCGCAGTGACACAACATATCCATCTGTTCCTTGCATTAATAATATCAAAGAATGTGTAAGAATCATTTTGCAGAATTAAAAAAAGAAAGAAAAAAAGCAGGAAGCATGTATTCTATCATATTACAGAGTATAATATTGTAGTAATAGAGGCACACACACATAAAAAGCACTAGTCTGTCCTCAACTTAGAGGATGCTTCTCAGCTTTCTGTGTATTAAAAGATCCCTGTAAGGATGAAACTGCAGGACAGAGTCACTTACAGCACAAACAGCAAAATGAAAAATATATATCTGACAGAGTATTTGTAGTTGAGGGGACTGAGTTCATGCACAAATGTTCAAATAAATCCACAAGCTTTCCTTGAGAATAAAACAGAGATAGTGTGTAGTGTGAATCCCGACTGAAGAATCAGCCCCCCACCTCTCAAACACTCCCAACTCCCCCTGCCTTTGCTGTTTTTTTTCTCTTCCAGGTACATCACTTGTGTTCTTCTAGCTTGTTTTTGTCCTGCTTTAATTGCTTTTTCTTTTTTTTTTCCCCTTTTGCAGCGAAGGAAGAAAAGACAACAACAAGGCGGTGAGGGCTGCAGCTAATGGAGAGGCTGTAATTGTGAATGGAGGCATTCATCTGGAGACATCGTCCGTGAATTGCGCTGCACAATACCCAGCGCCGGGCTGCTCAGATCACCAAGCAGTCAACAAGCACGCGTGCACACACGCACACGCGCACACATATAAACATGCTGAACCCTCAGATCACTGGTGCTCAGAGGAGCAACGTAATCACACTTCCGCAGAGAGAAAGACATCGAAAAGGGGAGGAGAGAAGGAGAGGCTGAAGAGGGGGGAGGAAGGGAAGAAGAGAGGAGAAATTATACAAGGAGATAGGAGGAGAGGAAGGGGGAGGAGGAAAACGGAATGGTGAAATTGATGTTTCCTACCATTTGATTTGGGCCACAGAGCCCAGGAGGCAGATCAGATAGAGCTACATGCACACACAGAATCAGCACATGCAAAGAAACAAGGATGCATGCACACCATCCCTCTTCCATAGAGCCCATACATGAAAGACACGCATGCACAGACTCATATACAGAGGCATACATTTAAAGCCATAAATCTGTACAAATATTATGTAAATAACCTGTAGAAGCTCACAGAACCATCTCACAAACCCCATAATTTCTTCTACCTGCTTGAACATTTAAACACAAACACACAAATGCACACACACATATTTTTTAAAGAAGACACAACAAAGCCTATAGTATGGAAGGAAAAAAAAAGCCCTCATCCCGGTGAGGCGAGACGAGACGAGGCACCTGTCAGCTCGGTGGTTCCTGCTACTACAGAGAAACATCAAGAAACAACAACTCAATTAAGCACACCATCCCTGTTCAATTACTGCCACATAATCACAGCAATTTACCTTCACTTGCTGCACAGCCACCAAACAAACACACACAGAGGCACAGGCGCACATACAGAGGCGGTTTCCCCTCACAAACGCCAGCAGAGACACAGCCGCATCACAAAGACTGACCAGACTGGCTTCATTCTACACATCATTAATGTGAAGCTCATCTGGAGGCATCCGCAGGCTAACCAGCATCAAACAGACACGGAGGACGACGGCAGAGAACAATTTAAGTGAAATGCTTATTCACTAAATATGTGATGAACAGCAACAGCAGTTCCCAACATGTCCATTACAGTACTGCCACCACTATAAATAGCACAGCTTCTGTCTAGCATATTTAAGGGTACGCGCTGTAAGTAAGTAACAGAAATCATTTGTGACCCAAATCTGTTCATCTTAATCACTTCTTGCACATTCTTTATGACACCAGGGATCTCAAAATCATCAGTAAGTTGCTATAATTATCATCATCATTAACTAAGAGTGAAATAACCTTTCCACAATGGTCCTGTTTGCTATTGGGCCTTGCTTCTGATATTCTTTTTCTGTGAGTGGCATAAAGATTTCTTATTTTATCTTTCCAAGAAATCAGAGAAATTTTGTGTCTTCAAACTCCATCCATACATGTTCAGGATGAGTGAGAATGCCAAATGTGAGCCATGGTTTCACCCATCATCAGCATGCAATCTAAATAATTCTTCTGTGGCAGAACAAGAGCAAATCCCTCCCTGTAAAAAGAAACAAGCCTAGGGAGTAGTGACGCTGACTTAAAGGCATTCAAAATCTGCAGAAGTCTGTTATACACTAACACAAACATAGCAGCTAAAGACCACATGACCCAGGGTGATGCTGATGCCATCTGCCAAAGATTCATTTTTAAAAGGTAACAAAAAGCAGAGATCAACAGGCTTATAGGATCACGCAGAGGAGAGACATTTTTGGGACAAATCTACAGTTGAAGTGCTGTTTCAATGATAATTTTCTTGTGCAGCTCGTTTTCATCAACTTTGCAGTCAGTATTGTGATGATGTAATAGTGTAACATATCACTTTCTACAGGGAACTCATTAATTACTTTAAAAAGTACACATATTAAGTACAATCAAGTCTGAAACATACAAATTCATATCTTACTAAGTTTAAGTTTACTGTTTCTATGACAAACTTCATATTTAGCAGACAGATTTGGAAAGCTATTTATAAAAAATATGAAAACGCACTCTAATCTATTCTGCACACAGCGTAATACAAGCTAGTCTGGAAATTAGAATCATCCAAAGTCATGACTGAGGGTGATGCTCAGGGCACAGTGTGGCTAACTGGCCCACTACAGAATGATGTCACTGGGGATACGACTGAGGAATAGCAACACTGTAAGAACCTGTGAATGAAGTGTGTGTGTGTGGACAGCAGATTGACTAACAGCTTGAACTTGGGTTAGATCCAGGAGCATGGGGAGGGATACATGGATGGCTGAAGAGAGAGGGAGGAGGGAAGAGGGGGGGAGCCATTGATTTCTCAACAGAGAGATCAGCATCTTGACAGAAAGAGACGAGTGAGCAACGGAGCAAGACACACACACACAGAAAAAGAGAGGAGATACCCACTGCGGCCCTCGGGTGAAATTCCATGACTTTTCCATAACTGAGCTTGAGTACTTTTATGTCCTAAAAACACACCTTCTTCCTAATTTGGGCTGAAACAGGGATGTAATGCGAGGAAAAAAATAAATCTAAAATAAATCTAAACTTTGACAGCACTTTGGTTAAGGTCCCTGACTTTGCCTGACTATCAGTAAAAAGTGATATTCCAGGACCTCCATGACCAGTGTGAACCCCTGTTGACAGAGATCAACAAGAAAGTCTGTGTGTGTGTGTGTGTGTGTGTGTGTGTGTGTGTGTGTGTAAGTTGTGTGCAACAGGGAAGCTGACACACACTGTGGAGGAACGGGTGGGATTGAGAAGGGGCAGCCAGGGGTCACGCTGTAATTATACATCATAGTCCCTGTGGTCAGTCCACTGACTTCCTCTGACTGCGGTGCCTCAGCCACACGAGCAGGGATGACAGGTGGTGGTGGGAGTGGATGGTTGTAGGAAACTTGGAATAATGAGGATAGCACATGTTATATCTATTTTCAGATTTCTATTGTTTAATTAGCTCGTGTATTATTTTTTCCTTGTCCTGTTTTTTATATTAACTCTGTGCATCGTTTGCAGTACGTCCAGCACACATGTCACACCTCTACAGTAACTCAGCCTCCGTGCCCACCTCAGAGTGTACCGGTTGCCGTTTTCACATACCGTGCGTGGTCCTGTGTGGGTGGTAGGTGCCATAGAGGATGAGTGTAACGCTGTGTAGAGCTCCGGCTGCCTCCTCTTCACTTGGCCTCGCGCAGCTCCTCACTGTGCCCTTGCGGTCAGTCACCTGGAAACAATCACCATGACAAAGACACCATTTCACCAAAAAACCGATCAATCGATCAACAAGTCAATCAATATTTTATGTGAAAATGTCCAAACACAGCAATACTAAAACCAAAGGCAAAGAATGAGAAGATCTGGCAGTATGTGAATAAAGCATGTAATCGTTAAACTGAGAATTTATCTTACAGTAAACTATTGGATGAACCTTTTCATGATGGAAAAAGTTTTTTTTAGGAAAGCGCCAGACTTCTCTTATAAAAAGGTGATGAAGTAATGGTATACATAAACATGAAATGGATTTTGATCGTAAATTATCATGCAGGAATTTAGTGGAATACACCGATCCATTCTGGCATAATTTAAATATCTAACTTTAGTTCATATCAGCTGAATTAATCCCAGATGCTTACATCGGATTTTGCACATGCGTCCCAACAGAAGCTCTGGTCTCAAGAGGTTAAGAAAGAGAATAAACATAGTAGCAGACTTCCCAGCATGCATTGTTACAGAGATAAAACTCCCCAGAGTCTCTGTCCGTTACTTTTACATTTATTAAAGCATAAAAACTGTGAACTAACGCTTCTTACTTTGTTTAATCAACCCACATTTTTAAGGCAGGAAGAGCTTATGTGTTAAAACCAAAGTGTAGATTACAAAATCATAAAGTCTTCATACAACAATACAAAAATAAACTCGATGGCAACCTTGAGTGTATAATGTGGATGGATATTCAGTAATGTGTTTTTTATAATGAAGATATCTTCTGGAAAGAAGGAATAAGGAATACTGTTACTGTAAGCATCAGTCTCAGCCCAGAATTTCACATCCACAGTTTTTAGTTTATTTATTTATTATTTTTTAATTGAGTTTAAGAGTTTAAGTGAAGGACAGAAGTTATTCATTTACTCTAAACAACCACAAAGAGTATCGACATGCCAACTGTTCAGCTGTTTTGAGGGATGTTTTTGGCTAGAGGTGGGTGGGGGTGAGATCATGTGACAGCTCAATCTGATGACTTAGTACTTAAAACTTGTACACAACAACACAAAAGACTTGTGACCTTTAATTTACAACGAAAAGCCTTTGACTGTCACAGCAGCAAATGCAGCGTGTTGCAGCAAAAGTGCAAGTTGAGGTCTGTAATCTCCAAAGGTACAAGATGAATCATTCCGTAATTTTCAAGGCAAAAATTAACTTCATCCCTACAAGAGCTGGTCAAGAGCATTCAACGGTGATCTTAGAGAAGCAACTGTTGCTGCCTGTCAATATGGCAAGTGGTATAAGAACATTTTCTTTAACAATCTGAAGTCACCATTCCAAAAACAGAAACAGTATTCATTAGTGGAAAACATTCTAGACAGCTGTCAGTGAAATTCACCTCAGCATCAGTCCGTGCAATGCGCAGAGAAAGTCCAAAAAGATCCAAAAGCTACATCTCATACTCTACAGAGCTCACTTAGCATGTTAAATGCTAATCATGACTTGCAATTAGAAAAAGGCTGAACAAATATAGCCTGTTTGAAAGGGTTGCCAGGAAAGAGCTTCTTCTTTCTATTAAAAAGCAAAACAAAACATGGCAGCGCATCTTAAGTTTTTAAAATTGAATCTGAACAAACCGCAAGACTTTTGGAACTATGTCCTTTGGACAGACGAGACCAAAATGGAGATGTTTGATGTGATGTTTTGTCCAACTGTCAAGCATGGTGGTGGAGGTGTGATGATTGGGTCTCGTTTTCAGTCACAGGACCTGGATACCTTGCAGTCATTTGGTCAACCAACTGTCGACTACTGCCATACAGACCTAGATCTAGATTTAATCATGAGGCCATCTGTCTGACAGCTAAAGCTTGTCCCATATGTGGTCAAGTAACCGGACAAGGATCACAAGTGCACCGGCAAATCTACAACAGCAACAGAGTTGCAATGGCGCAGTCAAAGTCCAGCCTTAACCCGACTAAAATGCCTGGCAGGACCTTAACAGATCTGTGCATAAACGAATGCCTGCAAAATTCAATGAACTGAAGCAATGCTGCAAAGAAGAGTGAAGTCTTCAACAACAATGTGAGAGACTGATAAAGTCATACGGAAAACTATGACTTCAAGTTATGGCTACAAAGGGTGGTGAAAACTATCTTTTTCACTCTGTCATGTCAGTTCTCTGACTTCCACTTTCAATTACATCAAATCATTATTTTATTCATAAATCAGGACAGTATTTGGATAAAAAATGGAAAAACGAAATCTTTTCTGTAGCTCAGCCCACAGATAATTAAAAGAAACATATCTAAATTACCTGACTGTTATGAAAACCCACAAAATCCCCTTTTAGTCAAGCATTGTTCAAAGATGGCTTTATACCATAAATCTGCTACATCAACTGTCCAGTCTGCCTCTCTGCCTGTGTGTGTGTATATTCTACGCAGTGTTTGTGTGTGTGTGTGTGTGTGTGTGTGTGTGTGTGTGTGTGTGTGTGTGTGTGTGAGAGAGTGCTCAGAGCAGATCGGAGGCCAGGCATGGCAGCCCCCAGCTGAGTGCTGCATTGATTTGTTGTTGGTAAACAAACAGCTGGATGCTACAGGTGGATCGATATGCCTTGCACGCCTCCCCGCCTCCCAGCAGGACTTTCTACTAGGTTGACATGGCTCTCTGAAGAGCTGCAACCCTGCTGTCACCGGGAAACCTCACGAGTCAAATATTTCAAATTCCAGATTGTTTCTAATTGAGCTGAAGTTCGTTTTACACATAAAGTTATGTTCCTGAATTCATAAAATATGCTTGTGAGTTCCATAACTTTGTAATCATTTTGTAAAGCACATATTTGGTGTCAACTATAAGTGCACCTTATCTTCATTATAACTGAAGATAAGGCAAAAATTAAGAAGCAGTCATCCAGCTATTACACTGAAGGCGTGATGAAAATGATATTTAACTACAATGTTATAAAAAATGTGAGAACTACATGTGGAGACAAAATCGGGGCATAGAGGATAGAAAGATGTTAAACTGACTTTTAGACAAAAGGGAGACAAAGAACATGAAAGGATTAGCAGAAGTAGAGGAACAGAGGGGAAAGTGGAAGGATTTCAAAAGCCAGAGAGAGAGAGTGAAACTACAGAGACAAAAAGAAGTTGGAGAGGGGGATTAGTGATGGGCCAGAGATGGCAGGATATCGAAACGGGTGAGTGTCAGGGTGATGGGAGCGAGACCCGGTGACTGGGAATGATGAGGAAGGAGTTCAGAAAGAGATGCTGATACACAGGTAGTGGAATTGTGAAAAAAAACAACATAGGAACAGTGAGAGATGGTGAGAGTGGGAGGATGATAGACAAAATGAGATGAAAAGAACAAAAACAGAGGACAAATTATGCATTTAGCGGAGAGCATCACTGAGAAAGACAATTAAATGGAGACATGCAAAGAAAAGACAAGAAAACTGTACTTTATGATGTTTTCAGTGCTTCTTCCCAGAGGAAGTATCAACTCCTTTCCAGGACACCCCGCTCCACATTTATACAATCATACACCTGGAAGATACTTTCACCACAAGTCCATAATTCTTAAAAGTACAGCTCCTCTGAGAAAGGACGTGACTTTGCACCGTGTTAAATTTCTGAATCAAAGCAAAGCTCGCTAGCAGCTACATTAGGCATCACTGCTGTGTCATTTCTCCAACCATTTCTACACCATCCTCTCCTTCTTAAAAGTTGACACCTTTTTACAAATACGTACTGATTGTTTTGCAGGTGGCAGATGTTTGTTTAGTCACTGTTACTATGGGTGTTAATTCTAAATAAATGGCTTTGTTAATTCTGCCAAGAAATGGTCAGTTTGTGATGATATAAAATACTTTCCTGAGATGTGTTTCCACATTTTTTAAATATAGATTCACTTTAATCTGAACCAATTATGCCTTCACTCTTTTTTCTCTCATGCAGTGGGGGAAATACTTGTAATAACGATTTAATCGCCTGCTAATTTTGTAAGTTTGCTCACTACCAAAGAAATGAACAGTCTGTAATTTTGTGCTAGTTTTATTTTAGTGGAGAGAGAGACAGGATATCAACCAAAAATCTGAAGTTATAAATTGATTTGCATGTCACTGAGTGAAAATAGTATTATTTTATTTATTAGTATTATTATGAAAAAAGTAGTTGATCCCCCACAAAAAACTTGACTTGGTATTTGGTGGAGAAACCCTTGTTGGCAGGTACACTAGTAACACGTTTCTTGTGGTTAGTCACCAGGTTTGCACATCTCAGGAGGGATTTTTTCACTCCTCTTTACAGAAACTCTAAATATTTTAGGTTTCTTGGCTGCTGCTTCACAAGCTTCAGCTCCCACCACAGATTTTCTATAGGACTGAGGTCTGAAGACTGGCTAGACCACTCCATCACCTTAATGTGGTTCTTCTTTAGCAGAAGGTGGCAACTAAAACAGTTGCTACCTTCTCACCAAACTTCTTGCTGATGGACTTCACATTCCAGCCTTCTGCAGGTGTACAATCTTGTCTTGACCAGGTCTTGACCATGGTGGTGGAAGAAGCAGATTCTGTGGACAGGCTAGCATTTTATTCACGTAATGAGTTGAGATCAGGATATAAGACATCTATCGTCTTATTTATAACGATATAAATCACAAAAATTTAACATTTTCTGTAAATTCTGTGAATCTCGGGCAGCTCGACTTGCGTGAAGTGTTTCCAGCTGGGCGTCATGTACCCGGAGTCGAGTGTTTGACCCAATCCATGAAACTATATATTTTTCTACATAAGTTGTAACGGCCGCAGTTTTCGTTGTATTTATTACACGGTGTGCTGCGGGGGAAAGCCCGTTCCAACGTTTGCATCTAAGGTTTATTTTTTAGCACATAACGGCTCTTTTTTGCTTCTCATCCGTAAACACTCTTCATACTGTTTCACGTGATTCCGTTTATTTTGAAAAGTCTCAACAGGATCTTGAGCTTTATTGTGAAAGGCGTATGTGGAAAATAAACAAGCGGACA